CAATATGACGTCATCTAATACCTTGAGGAAATTATTATTTACGGAACAATAGAACGTGCTTACTTGTTGGCATTAGTCCAATATAAAAAAAATGCGCACTATTACATGCTAATAAAAAACCGGTTTTGCCTATTATCTATACTTAAATCTTTTTCTTCTCTATGTGTGCATTGATTAAATCAGAAACTTTCATTTGCATTATTAGTTCATATAAAGTTAAAAATCCACTTACCGACCAGAGGGATTCACAAAAGAGGTGTATACCAAATCAAGAAGCAAGAAATCGGAACTTGAATCAGTCCAATAGATGTCACCTTTCTGATCCACAGCAACTGTGTTGAAAATTTTAGGTTTGCGATTTATACCTTTGCCTGGTTGTTCTTGTTGTGGAGATACCAGCAATTTCTTTTCATTGGTGTTAAGATTTACCTCCCATATTCCATAATATGCGTCGGATACAATTAAATTATTACCTTTCGTATCAAAGGCAAGTCCTAAAGGTCGACCGCAACGTGCTTCTTCAAATATGTCTTCTAAAAATTTAGAAAAAAAAACATAATCACTTAGCAACCAAAACGATTTCTAACTTGGAAAATGACTTACCACAGGGCTGTCCAATTTTCGCAACATGAGTTACATGGTCGGCAGTCAATTTAATAACCTCACCGCCATGAATGCCGGTATAAATCTCATTTTTACGAGCAATAAGACACTCTGGTCCATAGACACGCCCTTCCAAGAGGCGTTCACCACCATCTAGGTGCTGATTAGGCTCCAAGGCGCCTTTTAACTCTTTAGCTGGTGTTACACTGCAATGATTTCAAAAGTTTTTATTTGAATAAGTAATTGAATAGTCGAGATAAAACTTTGGAGTCCAAAGTTTGGACTTACTGAAATTCTTTATAAGGGAAAGTGGTACGCGGTGGCAGACCCGGCAGCAAGATTACGATCAGAAAAAATATCATAAAATTCATAAGTCTAACACGAATAGCATGTAGCAGACCCATGTTGCTGGTTAATGTTAAACGATGCCAATACTAAAGTTTTATTAAAATCTTATTAAATTGTACAATTAATTGTACAAAAACCAGCGACTTTATCAAAAACCACTCAATCACTTTGAAATATTCGGCCAGCGACACGAAGGCAATTTCACTACCAATGTTACCTTATCGGTCGAACCTTGAAAAACTTTTTACCTTTGTTTACAGCATGTAACACATGAACGTAATTATAGTTAAAGGAAGTTCTCGAATAATTTGGGGGATTCACAATGATATTGTTGTATGCCGTAAACTTTAAACACCTTAAAAAATATATTAACGGGGTTCGCAAAGTACCATCAAAGTCATATTATGAATTTTTGCAGTGTTAGAAAATAGTTGGTTGTCATATCTTGCTCTCTAAGCATTTATTCAGCTTTTAAAGCTTACGACATACAACAATAAGACACTTTGGACACCGTTGCGAAGCCCTAAATTGTAAAGAGGCGTTTTAATTATTATTTTTATTTTTACAAACGAACTTAGAAGGTTTAAAGTTTAAGATTTAAGGTTTAAAAGATATATAAATTTAAGCATAATTTTAGCCCTCGATCGTTTTCGTCAATCTAAATACGCTTAATCCATAGGGACAGAAGCTTTAGCTGAGTGAGTTTAGGGGGCATGTGAAGAAATGTTTCGAGTTGTGGAGTGTATCTTCCCATGCTAGGCACTCGGTGGACCCATGTGTATCTAACTATTGAAGTATTGTGGTTATCGTCCTGTTTAACTATGCCAATACAATGTACGAGAAAAACTAACTGTAGAGTTAAGTTGAATTTGAAAATTAATTAATAAATAACTATTCGAGTTTTCGTCACCAACAGTTAAAATAAAATGACAAACAGAAAACATTTTGAGCCATTAAAAAAACATTTGTATCAAATTCTTTTAATTAAAGTTAAATCTGTTAACGCAGAAACGGTATGATACATTTCGGTACATTTAATAAAAATAAACGCACTGGCAACGTCATTCATAAGTCAGCTGTTTGTTATCGAAACAAAACAGGTGAATTGCATGGTTGCATAAGCAACGTACTAAAAGGCCCGTTTCTTAACTTTTTATGGCTGATGACAGCAGATTGGTGAAGAGTAGTTTTCCTCACAGAGATCGAAAGAAAAAGGAAAGAAACGAAAATTAGCAAAAATTTGCAATCACTGTATATACACACACATATATTCAAATGCATGTACAAATACTAAAATTCTGCAATATTTCAATGTGTTTTGATAACGATGCACTTATTTTGTTTTATTAAAACGAATTAAAATAAACTTGTCAACTTTTTCCATACGGGTTTTGAACAGCTGCTTTTTAAACATATGACAGCAAATTTCGCCAGCAGAAATTTCCAGCTCTCTCGTTTTTTACGCTCCCTTTTTGGCTCCCTTCTGCAAATTTTTTGTGTTAAGAAACGCTTTCCAGTAGAATCCAGTAAAAATTTTGAAAAATTTTTCGTTGTGAAACACAGCTATATACATGAAATGGACAGTGATGGAAAATAATTCAGTTTTTTATAGCACCATATTTTTGCAAGTAACCTTTTTAAATAAAATAGATACTTCATATTGGTAAAAGTCCTTTAAAAACTGTTTTACGCGTACAAAATTGCCTATAGTTCTAACATTACAAATAAAAAAATATACCCCTTTGCTGGTAATTTTTAATAAATAATAAGGTAGAGGAAAAAGTATTTTGTTTGTACCCAGCAAGATCCACCTAACGCATTTTCAATACACTTACAAAATTGTCAATAAAACTCAAAACATTTCAATATTAACAACATCCATCATATGCCATTCTTTGGGTTTTATAAAACGTTATTAATCGCATAATAATATTTGATTGAAAAGAGACAACTACATATGGGATAATATAATGGTGAATTCCACGTAAAAGAAAGTCAATACGGCTCACACGTGAAATGATTATGCGTTTGGCAGTACTGTCGTCCCTAAATTGGAGAGCTAAGCGTTGCATTTTGCATTGTTAATGAGGGTGAGCGCGCGCCATCCCCAATTCAACGCGGCGCAAATTTCAACGTTTTCTCATTCCCTCTCGTTTTTATTCTCGTTTCCTCCTTCACTTTTTTGTCCTTTCTCTTTCTTTGCGTCTTCTGCATCCAACTTTAACACGTAACGCCCTGTCAAAAATGAAAATTCCATTTACTCAGCGCTAGTGCCGCGTTATTGTGGGATGCTCCATACAAATTGTACAGGCATGAGGCTTTTTGACAGTTGTTTGCCGCTTGACGCGCCAATTTAGGGACGGCAGTTAGTTAACTTATAGGGTTCTTACTGGGTATATGCTTCAAAACTGGAGTTGCAAATTTTGGTTGGTAACAAGGTACATTGAACAGGTAGTATCAGTAGAGCAGCTGATTTGATTTATTTTCAAATTATTTGGTCTCGAAAATGTCAAATATTTTTAATTTTTTTTCACAAAAATTCTGAATTGTTAAAATCCATTTGCATGTGAAACCTTTTTTCATGCAAAACAAGCGATTGAATAGCAGCTTTTGGAACGTTCGCCCAACTCAGCAGCACGACCGCTGATTACTGGGCCTTGCAAAGGATGGATCAATGCATCGAGAAGCAAACAAATTTACTAGGAAAGAAAGTTGCATCAATTTTTATTTTTTCCAATTTCAATTTTTTATTTTTTATAATTTTTTGTATTTCACATGGCACGCTTTGATTTAGAAGAAAAAATTCATAACAGTTTTTGACACTTTCGATACCAGAAGCAACAACAAAATACACGCAAATGTTGTTTTTGCTCTACTGATACTACCTGTTTAATGTGCCTTGGTTGGTAACATCGATGTTTCGATCCATCAGAGAGAAAAAAATTTCGGCTAAAGAGCATTGCCAGAGAAACATCGATATATCGACGGATTCCGATGTTATATAATTTGTTAAGTTCTACATAAATTTAAAACAAATTTGAGTACGTTAATAATTATGATTAATATTATTTTTTCAAAAAGGTATAAATAATAATTAGAGCGGAGTAGAGTCTTCATTCCTTTACCATAAACTAATGCAAAGCGCCCTTTAAGGATTTATATAAAAAACAAGCCGCATGTACTCGCGCCAAAAAGAGTGAGAGGAAATTTCAATTGACAGCACTGACAAATGAATACATACACAACCCAAAAAAATTGAATACATACATACAAAACAATTCAAGTTTTTGTATTGAATTTTTTGTTTAAAATTTCTTGTTCTCTTTTCACTAGGGTTTGTTTGCACATTATCTTCTCTGTGCGAATTGATCGTGGTAGATACGGATCTGAATAAGCGACTGGAACACGGCTGTTTGTAAAAAGCATACGATTTCAAACTCGCGTAAATGTACATTTGTTGAACGCGATAGCGTGAAGGCTCTGCGAAAAAATACGTCCGAGAGTGCTAAATATTGCATTTTAAATGCAGCAAAAACGCTGCATAAGGGAGGCGATTTTGTAAAGAGAGAGCAAGAAAACTCTTCTAAGCAATCTTTTTATTATTGAATCATGAATATAAACTCCTTACTTTCCAACAAAAAACCTTATTTGATAGTAAATTCCAAATATTTAAAAAGTATTTCGAATAAGAACTTATAACTTGTTTACCATCTGCAACACTGACGAAGTGGCAACCATCTATAGAAGGAAGCAATCAGTTGACACGGAAAAGTCTAAATTCCGCAGATTTCTGCGCCACGGGCTACAACTACAGAAAAATTCTGCGTTGTTGACTTGTCATTTACATGGCGCTCTGGTAAGACAGATCGTGTCAGCTTACTCGGGTTTACGTTCCGGTAGGTTACGTTCTGGACTAATTCCACATTTAGGTTTTAGTACACTAGATTTTCTTATAGCTCAGTTATGCATACTTTGCACTGCAGTGCAAAACATATTTTTGGTAGGTTTTGGTTGCTTTTGGTAGGAAAAAATATTTGGCCACGGCAACACTGTTTGGTGTCGTGTTTTCGTTGCGTTTTTCGCTTACGTGAATTATATGCTGATTATTTGATGTGTAAAGTGTTAAAATTAAAGTGTTTTATTAATAAAAATGGCGGAAAATCTTAGCTCCGCACAAAGCGAGTTTGGTAAATTTTTATGACTTGTAAATATTTAGGTTTATACAAGTAATACTAACAGGTAATAATACGCGCCAGAAAGACGACGACTCCATGGCAATGGACCACGATGCAGACCCAAATACGCAAGAGAGTCGAGATGATAGCACACACACGCCAAATTCATCAGCTCATAACACAGGTGGGTTTAAAAATTTTCCACTAGTAAAATTCATTTCCATACCTGCATATATGTGTATTTTTTGTTAATTTACCCAGATGAGGACGATGACAGCGGTGATGGACGTAATAGCACAGCACATGCTTCATCGTCGACTCTAAGCTATAAAGAAAGACGTCGCGAAGCTCATACTCAAGCTGAGCAAAAACGTCGGGATGCCATTAAGAAAGGCTACGATAGCCTTCAAGAGTTAGTGCCGACATGCCAACAAAATGATTCAGCATCGGGTTATAAGTTGAGTAAAGCGCTTATTTTGCAAAAATCAATCGACTATATTGGCTATCTAAACTTACAAAAAAAGAAGCAAGAAGAAGAAGGTGCTGCCTTGCAGAAAGAAGTCGCTGCACTACGCATAATACAACATAGTTATGAGCATATGTTGCAACATCAGCAAGCTAATCCTGGTCCCGAAGAAGCACGTCTGACCGACGAAGCAAAATTTCAAGTGGTAAATATTTAAGAACTTTGAATATTCTAAAGTATATAAAAAAATTTTCCATAAGTACGTGTACTCAGGTATTTCTTATAATTATGTTGTAATGAATATAGAAGAGCAAAAATAGATTATATCACTTAACAGATAGTGAGTGCTTGGGTTAAAGCATAAACAGACGCAGCGTTGATCCGGATCAACTCGGGAATTAACTGCAGTTGATCCGGATTAAGTCCGAGTTAATCCGGATCAACGCTGCCCTCTGTTTTAAGCTTTTAGGTATTGGTTCTGCGCTTCAAGTGAAGGTGCTTCCATGCATAATAATGGCGCGTCTCATTCTTATTCCTTCATGTTAACAAATTTTCGTTTATCTTACACATACTGTTTATAGTTCCAGGCAATTATGGATGAAATGTTCAACACATTCCAGCATATACCAATGGATAATTTCAAGCAGCTCACAACAGGGGTCATACCGTGGTTAGAGGAGTACTGCAAGCCACATATTTTGCGCAGCATACTAAGTCGCACATTGCAACAAATGTCTCAATCACAAGCGCAAGAAAAGCAAAAGCAGCAGCAAGACAACGAAGGATTTAGTTGATTTACTAGCAGGTGTCGGAGGCGCTATGAGCCTCATGGATAACTAGATTTGACGCGGCTAATAATTATCTAGACTTAACTTGTTTGAATTAGTGATATTTTACTCCGGGATTCATGTTAATAACTTTTATTTGGTTACAAGCATTTGTCAATTTTTAAGCCAAATAGTAAAACTCCTTTTTTATAGTTTAGTTAAATTGTATGTCTTAAGTTCTCGGTCTTTCCCCAAACACACTGTGTAATAATGTTTGGATATCATTAGTATCGTTTTAAATGTTATATGTATACTTGCTGGTAAATCGTTTAGTTATCATTACAATTGTGCTAGTTCATACACTGGCGGCAGAAATTATAGAAACGTCTTATTTAGATCAGTTTTGGCTACATATATATATATTTTTTTTTAATGTTTAATGTTTTTTATAAAAGTGTTCCTCATTATATAACAAAACTGCATATAAATGCGCATTTCGAAAATTTTAAAGTTCAACAAACTTTCATCTAAATTTTAAACTTTTTATGCTGAATTTCTAAAACAATTTTAGGTATGCAGTTTTATAGTCCATACAATTTTAGTACGATGAAGTGCAAGTCTTATGTGGCTAAAAATTACTTTTTTTAGCTGACGGTGTTGTGATTTTTCATTTTCCTCAACGCCAGTTTTCATAAATTGCACTTGTAAAAAAAAAAATCGAAAAAATGCGGCGGCAAAAAAAATTTTGTAGCCACTTGAAACTTGCACTAAAATTTAATGAGTTTTAAAACGGCATACATAAAAATTCTGAACAAAAAGTTTAAAATTTGGGTAAATTTTTCTAATTTTTTCAAAGTTTGAAATTCGCATTTATGTATGTACATATATGCAGTTTATTAGACTTGTAAAAAATATTCAATAAACAAAAACAAGTCAGTTAAAATAAAGCGTTTATATTATTTCTGCCTCCAGTGTATGTGTGTAAACATTAAAGTTAATTTGGTAAGGGGTAAAAACCAATAGAAAATGCATTCGAATTTCGTTTTTTTTTAGTTTTATCTCTAACAGCTTCAGAAATAAAATCGATGCCTTATTGCGACATTTTATCTTACCTATTGATTTTCAACTTAGTCTTAATTACATACGAATTTGTATAGTAAATAATAAAATTTAAAACTAAAGCCTCTAACTAATCATTAAGTTCATAATTATTAGTATTTTATTTTTCTAATTATACTTAGCGCTAAATTTGGATGCACTGACTTGGAATTCATCATAACCAATTGAGTCTTCCTCCACAGTTGTTTGCAATAATTGTTGCGCAATCTTCGAGTGACAGTCAGTACCTACCAATAACAACAAATCCATTAGCTTGCTTAATGTGTAGGGTTTGTATTGTGGTATTAATTCCAAACTGGCCAAATATGACTGTAATTTCTGTATGAAATTCTTTGTTTCCGCGTCGTTAATATGCATACTTTCATGTCGAATACGTAATACGCCTTCAACTAGCGTAAAAATTAAGCCTAAGAATAAATTTTCGTCCGATATGAGATGAAGTATGCTAGAAATACTCAAAAGCGCACTAGGCAATTCGTGGCTAAAGTCGTGAGCACGTACAAAACACAATGCAGCCAATTTCCTTACACTTTCACAGCGATGTGCCAATAAACGCCACATTTGTTGGCGAATACGTTGTAAGAACGAACATTCATAAGGTTCAGTTTGTTTTGGTAGGTGTTTTACTTTCGATAGGAACCCCAATAATAGCACTGTGGTACGTGTACTTTGGTTGCATTTGGCTTCAAAATAATTTAGTAAACAGTCGCAAGCTGTTGGCAGTTTCCGTATGATTTCATCATATGTAATATCATTGTTTCCATTTCCAACTGCATCGTCAAGGTCTTTTGCTGGTGTTTGCCCAACAATTTTCGGTATAAGTGCGCCAAATAACTGAAGTGCAGCATTGAATTCTGTCCACTCTGGATGTTCAATACGCTTTAAAGCAACCAATAGCATTTCATTGTAATAATGTGAGGTGGCATCACGCAATTCCGTATCTCGTACCAATACACCAAGGTAGTGTAGTAATAGGGTTTCAAAACGATCATAATTATCTGCATCAGAAGCGTTATTTAAACGTTTCTCATTAATTAGACGTATACATTTTTCCATTACACGCTTTAGCAGAGGCCTGGAACGCTGTTGTTCATTTTTAACAATGTGCAACATCATAAGGGAGTACCCTGCACCACGGCGTGTAACGCTCACTTGTTTGGTGTTGTCGAACAACAGATCCAAACATTTGTAAAGCAAAAGATAACCTTCTGAAGCCGGCAAGCAGTTCGCCGTAATACATCTGGTAAGCTTACCTAGAGAAGGAACACTGTTATAGAATTTAAAGTGCTTAATTGTCAGCGCAAACAGGAACTCACCTATGCTCACACCTGCCGCTTCAATGGCGCCTTTGTGTCTACAGCGCGTAAGTACCGTTACATGTATCTCCAAGCAGCGTCCGAGTATGTTCAAGTCACTTTTGTTATGCCTGTTAGTTTCTACATAGCTGATGCCGATTCCCGTCGCCAAATCACAAGCAGCCTACATATTACAAATTGTTAAAATTAACGGATTCTTTGTATGAACATATGCGTCAAAGCTTGATTGATCAAAGAGGAAGAATGATGCATGGAACTAAAACTTGAGCATTAATAGCGCCTTCCTAGTCTACACCCTGACTCGCACTGAAAGCACACAATGTCACCTCAAAGCTGATATGGGACCGTTCTCAACTTGTAATACTCTTCGGATACAGGAGCTCGGTTTGCTTTATTTGTTTGTCGGGAAACGGTGGAATTATGGGCAATGAAGTGGCAAATAATCTTGTCAGAAAACTGGCTACACTGAGATTCATAGGCCAAGAACCCATTATCGGTCTGTGAGGCGAGATTATTATATCCGAACGAGAAAGGAAGTGGTTTACTTTGACCGGTGAATCCTTATGCCAGGACTACGTTTTGTGTACTTAACTAAACAAATCACCTAAATAAAACTAAGATAACGGACGTCGCGAAGTCTCTTAGAAAGTCTGATAAATTACATAAGCCTTATTAGCGATACCTACTTGAACCGCTCCCTCCTCTTAATATTAAACAAATCAAATTTAAATAATAGTTACCTTAAGCGTTAGCCAGAATGACATAAGCAAAAATTTTCGAAGTTCTCGGCTATTAGTTATTTGGTATGCACTTTTTTGCACCACTATTTCCAGACTTTCGTCCATGTCTTGAAAGCTTGCTGCGTTAATACCAGCTTGCATGGGATTAGCTTTGCACACGTTCAAAAAGTCCAAAACTGAATTCACTACTTTTTCCAAAAGATCTAGTAATTTATCTTGCTGCTCCGCGGTTAAATATACATTGCCTTGTACAATCTCATCTACGATATTGATGTATCCTAACAAATGATTGCGTGTCTTACATACGAGCAGTGGATCTACTTGAAATCCTACGAGTTCTTTGTCCAAATTTTCTGTTGCGAAATCTAACAATTCAAAAAGCGATTCGTTATTACCCGTAGACTTGCAACAGTTGACCGTCACTCGCGCGTAGAGTGTACTTAGCACACACTCATCTACATCAGAACGTCGACTGAATTCCTTACATAGGCGAACACTCTGTGCTGCATTTGTGAAATCGATTTGCTGCAAGAGTAACAAAATCAAATCTAATGCGTCGTCGAAGCCCAGAGGATCATCAATTAGTTTGAAAAGTGCTTCAGTTAATTGGGCAGGCTCAAATACTTGTTTTTCAATCAAAAATTGGCCCAGTTTTTTGTTCTGTGCTATGCAGCAATTTTTCGCATTCTTTTCCAAGTGGGTTGCGTACAATGACTTGAGTAGTATTTCCAGCAAGCGCAAGGAAAATATTTTAGACTGATACAACGCACTTCCAATGTCCGTTTCAATTAACAGGTGAATTTGTTTGAAAAATGCTTGAATACTGGTCTCAAGTGTGGTTGTGCCCTCTGCATCATGCAATTTGCTGAAAGCTTTGGCCACATAGTTAATCATAGCAGGCATTTTTCCTAAAATCTCATTTCGAAACGGTGCGTTATCAATGCATTTGTGCTTCTTTATAAATGCGGCCGTGAATTCCAGGCAATCTTCAATGGCAAAATTAGCCACATTGTCCACAATAAATTTAAAAACCAACATCTTTGTTTCTATTTCAAATTGGAAACAGTTTGTTATCAGTTCAGTGCTGATTTTAAAAAAGTGTAGCTTAGATGCTTGGAATATTTGCCGTGAAAACATACTAAAAATTAATGTTGATCGAAAGTAGTCCTGATCAACAGCGCCATCGATTGTGTTTTCCAGAAAATTCGCTATCTCAGGCCGTGTTTGCAGATATTCAAATAATCGATCCTTTTGCTCTATTCGACCAAACCAGTGAGCATTGAAATTCTTGATTTCTTTTGATGTGCCGCGAGTTAATATATCTGCCGACATATCAAGCAGTTCTTGAGAGTTTTGTGAACTTAGCGCCTTTACTAAATGTTGACTAGCAGGTAAGAGGCTTTTATGACTCAAACTTAGACGTACACCTGCATAGAATTCTTGGATAGATCGCTGTGCGCTATCAAGGAACTCATTTATATTATACGTTTTCAATATACAGCTAATTAAATAAAACTTATAACGATTTGTCCACGGCCAGAACTCTAAAATAATTTGAAAATTTTCAAATCCAACAGTTGCTTGCCGACAGCATTTGGTAAAAAGATTCATCGACTCCTCACGCATACCGAATTGATTAGTTTGCAGGCAATGATAGATTTGTTGCAGTGGAATGTTTGCTTCCAGCGTGGGAAATTTCGCCAACAATAAATTAAGTACTTTCAGTATGTATAGAAGACTATTGCAATCTGAGTCAACTGCGTCAGCTAATGCCTTGGTGCATTCATCTAATAACTTTGCTGACTCTTTTGTTTGAGCTTTCAAATCTGTCAGTAACGACGCGTACAGTAACTGAAACCCCCATTCTTCGGAATACACCAACTTCGGTTTCGGCAAAGTGTTTAAGTATGTGTCAGGAAGTTTGTGCTGCTGCATTATTTGGAAATATGCCCGATAAGCCGTATTTAACACAACCTGATTGGCCATAGCTTGTCCGCCAGTCCTTGTTTTTGTGGAACATTCGAACTCGATTACAGCTACAATGTGTTGGATCACATCTTCTAAGTCATCCCTAGTTTTCGCTTTTGTTGCAATTGACTGCAATTGTAAAATATAACAAAAATGTACACTTTTGTTTACATATATACATATGTATAATCGCATGGAACTTACGGGTAAATATTTTATGCACTCTGTGGAATTGGATATATCTTTTACACATTTCGGCAGCTGTCTAATATCAGGATAATTACTTGCCATATTTTAGGGAAGATTTTATCCAGTAGGATCTATTAAATAATTTACCACTAAATGCATATCCAGAGGAAAAATTTTACGGGAGTTTCCGGCCATCAGCTGATTCTGCATCGCCCAGTACAGTATTCATTCAATAGTTCGACTGATTCCATGAGACTATAAAAGCTTAGATTGTTTACGTATTTATGATAGTTCGTAACATATTTTTGCATACGAGTTTATGGTAGTTCGTAACATATTTTTGCGTAGGGGAAATTATGATAGCGAAAATTGAAAATTTAGGTCGAAGTTGCATGTTTTTACCGGATAAATTTTTGGTCGTCACAATTTTCTGTTAGAAAACAGCTGTTCAAATACAGATTCTTGAATTTCACAGCAGCAAAGGATTACATTTTTGGAATTGCAAAGTTAAACTGCCAAAATTGAATGATCTAATTACTGCCAAGTAACTGCTCATCATGGTGTTCTGAATGGTAGACAAATTCAAGGAAATCGTAGTAAAATCTTCATTTTCTTTCCAATTTGTTGCCGAATTTTCTAATGGCATAGGGCTGTTCAGGATGTTGTGGAAATGGTCTAAGATTTGCAGTTGGAATTGCATTTGCAAATTTTAAGCTTGTTGCCATGGCAACCGTGTGCATTTTATTGTTGTGGATTTACAAATGCAACGAATATGCTAATGCAGGACCATATGCATAAAATCCTGAACAGCCCTAATGTATGAAATAATGGGTGCAGATTTTTTTTTTTGATTTGTTTTGAGGAAATCGTCCTGAAATTTTTTGCCATAACCGTTTCATATGATTATCTTTAAAGTTTCGTAAAAAAACAGCAAGGAGTATGCCTTCTATCGCTATCACACCTGAGCAATTACAATTTTATTTTGGGAACAATAAATGGGATTTGTGCTATTTTTCACAATCTCTAAATGCTAAAGGATAATAAATCCTCAATCCTGCCAGTAGAATTCAAGTTTAAAAACGAAGTAAAAAACACAACCGGCTTCAATGCTCATACACAAATTTAGAAGTAATTTCATGTTATCAAAAATAAACAAGTAAGAAAGTCTAAGTTCGGGCGGAGCCGAACATTAAATACCCGGCGCAATTATTAAATATATGTTTTCCACCTTTCCGAAAGCTACCGCTACACGATAATCCGGGGTGTATAGATTTTAAGTAAATTAGCGTCCTTAAATTTCGAAATATTGCAGTTTCAAGCATTTCTGAATATACCGTTATATGAAAAGCGGTCGTAATTTTAGTCCGATTTCAATAATTTTCAACGCTTTGCTTTTATGTGGCAAGCACAATAACCATACCGAGTTTGGTTCAAATTGCTAGAACGGTTAGCGAGATACATATATGTGATCATAAGTGGGCGGTGCCACGCCCATTTTCCAAAATTGTATCATAAGCGTATTTCTTGGTAAAAAATTGTTGCAACCATCAATTTTGAATAAATTAGCTTTAATATTTACTAATTTATCGATGATTTTGTATTTTTCTAAATTTCGGCCATTTGGTATGTTGTAGCAGGACCAACAACTGTGCCAAGTTTGGAAGAAATTGGTGCAGCGGTTACCAAGATATACACATGTAACCATAAGTAGGCGTGGCTACGCCCATTTGCCAAAATTGTTTAATATTCTTATTTTTCGTCTAAAACTCATTGTAAATATCAATTCTGAGTGAATTATCTTCAGTAGTTACTAAAATATCGCACTTTTCGTATTTCTGAAAATTACCGTTATATGGGAGGTAGGCGTGGTTATTGTCCGATTTCGCCCATTTTCAATACCATCCGTCCTTGTGCACAAGTGCGCTCGGGTATAAAAAAATAAAAACAGGTGGAATACAATGCTTTATTTATCAATAATAATTTATAACAATTTCACGCCTTCGTAGTTCAGTCTAATAGTTGCATATAATTTCATGAACACTGGGCTCGAATAGTAATATCCTTTCACTGATTACGTGATACGTCCACCATCGAAAGGGATGGAGTACTTTCACGTATGTCATAATCCGGAAAATGTGTTTTTACGTGACGAGTAATACGATATAGTGTGTGACGATTCGAGCCCAGGTTTCTGGTGGTGAACTACACCTAGCTCTTTCTCAGCTAAATTTGACTGAGTTGCAGAGGGACAAAGCTACACAAGAATGAAGAGAAAGTTATGATTTTGCACAAACGCAACTTCATTTGTCCACCGAACTACGCAATTTATCAATACAAAAGCTGAAGCAACTACAGGTAATATTCTATTGAAACAAAAATGCAATATTCTTATATAAAATAAATAAACAATTCTTCATAGTTCAATGATCGGAACTAACCCTACATAATTAATATGTGACCATACGTGGTCAAAAGTTATCCGGTAACACACATACAAAATACTACAATGAATTGATAACCTTCTCCTTTTTTTTTAAATCTGGAAAAGGAACTAAAAGTTTGAGCATTGGGGTCCTTTATGATAATGAAATTCTGAAAATGCACCTGGGATCAATTCCCGTTCTGCGTATCGTGAAGTGAAAAGTCAAAAATTCACACCGAAATATGTGCGGTGTGAACGTGTTATTTTTACAATTCACAAATGACGCAGAACGAGTATTGGCCCTCTTGATCATAATATATTTTGTTTTTGTTTACAATAGCAATTTTCTTATTTATTTTTTCTACTACCACTCAATCAGATGTTTACGACTCTATACGTTGCGTTACGTTTTTCAGAAAATTGAAGGATTTGTAAAAGAGCAATTATGGCAGCACCAATCGAATAGCCGTATTTGTGGCGATTTTTGTTCCGCTTCATTTTCATTTTCTACGCTTTGCACATTTTAAAAGTGACAAAATGGCGAATGAAGCAAGCAAATTGCTGCTTTCTACACAACAAGAAAAACCAAATCATTACACGTAAATAAATAAAATACTTTAAAAATTTGTGATTTTTAGTGAAATGCAATGTGAAGTTTATATTTACTTAATGCTTGGTGCACTGTGGTGTCTTCTAGGTACTTAAAGGAATTTCGCGTCGAGCAGTGTCAGTCTTTTCTACAGCACAAATGCAACCAGCATAGACCGTTCGTGTGTTTCAATTGGCATTTCCAAAATCAACGCCGCCGTCGTCCTGTCCGTAAACGAGATGGCACTTTTAATTATAGTGCAGATAATTATTGTACCAAATATGATGAAACAACAGGGATTTGTCCTGATGGTGATGAGTAAGTATGTTTTCTTGTTGCTATTGTTTTGCAACCAGTGACCTGTGTTTTGTCTGAGACAGCATACGTACGTGATTGTCCTTCTTCCCCACCTCTTTGTGGGCAGTTCGAGAAATTGCGTTTCCATTATTTCCAACACCTCTTGGCTAAGTACAGATTCCTAACATTTGCTTCTTTTCTTTGATTTCGTCATTATCACCAATTGCTTTCATGTTTGCCTTCTTTGTTTTTGTTTTATTTTTGTTGTGCTTTAGCTCTATTTTGTGTTTCCGATGCAAATTCGTTTATGTTTTTCTCCTATTTCACTTCTGTAACACAAACGCGTACAATCTCCTTCGTTTGTCTCACTCATTCGTAATTCTGTTTATTATGGGAATTTCGGTACTTTCCACTCCGGTAGCGGTAGCGGACACCGGAGAAGCGAATTTGATACATTTTTCGAATGTAAATAAATATGAGCATAGGCAGACGCGTGTAGGAGTCGGTTTATTTACATTTTATTAAAAATTATTATGTAAAAATCGAGGAAATCCAATTTTGCAAATAAATTCATGAATCACATCTAACCACTGCTAGATTCAAGGCATTTTGAAGAAAACGTATTTTTTACATTTTGGCTAGATTTTTATTTTATTTCTTACAAACAAGTTTTGGGTTTTAAACCTAATGTTAATAAATAAATAAATAGATTAATTAATTTTGCATTAAAGTTTAAATAAAAATAAATATGTATGTATGCAATCTGATCTAATGTTTATTCAACTTTAATTAAGTTTTAGGTTATAAACGAAAGCATTACTGGCATTCCAAAGTTAATATGAATATCTATAGATTTTTCCTCTAATAAAATGATTTTATTTACATATATTACACAGCTGTCCATTTCTTCATCGCACCGCTGGTGATACTGAACGTCGTTACCATTTGCGTTACTATAAAACCTGCATGTGTGTGCATGACACGGACAGTCGCGGGTATTGCGTTAAAAATGGACACCATTGCGCTTTTGCACATGGCATTCAAGATCAACGTCCGCCAGTATACGATATAAAAGAGCTGGAATCATTGCAGAATGCAGAGCTTGTACTCGACGGTACAAATGCACAAAATGCGTTGGACAAGGAACGCAATCTAATGAATGAAGATCCAAAGTGGCAGGATACTAATTATGTTTTAACAAATTACAAAACGGAACCATGTAAACGTCCACCACGTCTTTGCCGGCAAGGCTATGCTTGCCCCCAGTATCACAATAGTAAGGATAAACGACGAAGTCCTCGCAAATTCAAGTATAGGTGAGGTTTGCTGAAAGCAGAGTACTAATATACCTATATGCACATCGGTCCAAAACATTTAAATTTTATTTGTAGGTCTACTCCATGCCCAAATGTTAAGCACGGCGAGGAATGGGGTGAACCTGGTAATTGTGAGGCAGGCGACAATTGTCAGTATTGTCACACGCGTACCGAGCAACAATTTCATCCGGAAATCTACAAGTCAACTAAATGTAATGATGTACAACAAGCCGGTTACTGTCCACGTAGCGTTTTCTGCGCTTTTGCACATGTGGAACGTAAGATTAATTACTGATATATTATTAGTTTAGAGATCAAGTATTTACTTATTGTATTAACATACTCCTCACAATCTGTGTTAACGGTTATTAATTTTACAGCATGTCCTATTGATGAACTTCGCGATAATGCGCTCTCAGCTAGTTTGGCTAACTCAAGTTTATTATCACGTTCCTCGGCGCCAATTAACATTCCTAGCTCCACTCTAAATAACTCTATGAACGGTGAGTGTAAGTTTTTCGCAAATTATCAATTTGGATGTGATGCAAAACTTAAATAAATTTCATATAAATTTTACAGATTTTAATTCTGCCGGATTTTCTGTCAACATTCCAAGCAACTCGCTCACATACAGCCCAACCAGTCACAGCAATCTATTCAGCGTGTCAGATGCATTTAACTATACCGGTTCCAATACAAATAAATTAAGTAACTCTCTCTCAGCGGCCACTCAAAACGATAGTAGTAGTTTGTTCTTTCCATCGCGAATCATATCCCCAGGGTTCGCAGATGGTTTATCAATAAGCCCATCCGTTAGGTAATTTACTGTGTAAGCTTAACTATAGCTAAAACTAATTTAGTTTTTATGTTGCAGAATATCTGAATTAAACTCAATACGTGATGACATAAATAGCAGCTCTGTGGGCAATATGTTATTTGACAACACTTTGACTACCACGAAAAATGCATTTTCGTTGCAATCTCTACAAAATCAAAACAACTCAGATGTCAATCGTTTATCAACCGAGTTAATGACAAAGAACTCACAAATTCTAAAGCTAACCAATCGAATTGATGAAACTGCTAGGAAGGTATGTTTGTAGGTGTACTAAATTACCTTTAACATTTTTATGTTATGAGAAAAAAAAACAGGTGGAAAACGATGCTTTGATTTTTTATCAATAGTAACTTATAACAATTTCATGCCTTTGTAGTTCAGTCTAATAGTTACATATAATTGCATGAATACTGGGCTCAAATAGTAACATACGTTCAAAAAAAAAATACGTGATACGTCAGTCATCCAAGGTGAATGGGATAAAGAGTACGTTCACGTATGTCATGTGTTTTTACGTGACGAGTAATTATCCCATTCCGCTTATACGACTAACGGTTTCACGTAATTTTCTTTCTGGTGGTAAACTACACATTGATATTTGCTCTTCCACAGCTAAATTTGACTGAGTTGCAGCGGGACAAAGCTAAGCAAGAAGCAATGGAGTGGAAAGAACGTTATGATTTGGCACAAACGCAACTTCATTTGTCCACCGAACTGCGCAATTTATCTATACAAAAGCTGAAGCAACTACAGGTAATATTCTATAGAAACAACAATGCATTATTCTTCTATTAAAAAATTAAAAAATTTTTCACAGTCCAAATTGCGTACAGATTTAGAAGATGTAGAAAAGGTATTATATTTGGAGAATGCTAAAAAATGCATGAAATGTGAGGAGAATAATCGCACAGTCACTCTAGAACCATGTAATCATTTTATACTATGCGACTCTTGCGCCTGCTCTGTGACGGAATGCCCGTATTGTCAAGTGTCCGTAGTTACAACACACACTTAAAGCAACTAACAACACAAAAAAAAAAAAAACTAACGCTTTCAGTACAAAAAGCTTAGTTATATTTGTTTCAATCAAATTATTTATTTAAAGTGTAAAAATAGGTTTTCAAATAACCAAGTATTGGACAAACATGAAGGAGAACAAAACAACAAATCATTAAACAGTCGAATTGAAATTAGCTTATAAGTAAACATATATAAATTGTGTTATTCGCACAACTAGCGAATAAGTTTAGGTGTCAAAAATCAATGAAATCCTAACTAATATATTTAGTATAAAAAATAGTGCTATTCGAATTTTCAGTAACTAAACTTCCAAGCAAACAAAACAAAGCAATTCATCAAGAAGCAATGAAAAAATTGTTTCTATTCCATTCTTTTGCACTTAATATATTTACAAAAAAAAAAAAAGAAAACAAAAATTAATTCAATTCACATGTATACATAATTTTTTACCTTTTTTACCATTTTCATTTCCGCACATTTGCATATGTATGTATGTAATATTTTAACATTATATTTTCATAAGTCAAATTCTGTTTGCGTTTTTTATTACCTAATGAAGTAACCGAATTTTATGTTCAAATATTCAATATGCCTCGGTTCAAACCAGTCAGTTTTAAAAAGTTGGTTTTGCATTGATATGACAATTTTTTGTGATCATAAGAAAATTTTGAAAAAAAGTTGTACATGCACTTGCTTATATGCAAATTAACACACACATACCTTATATGACATTAAACTTACAAAAATGTAAATTTATTTATATATAATTTACTTTAACTCTTTGTTTAGGAACAAATCAATTAAATTAGTATTCTATTTTTGCTGTCATAGTATTAAATATGGACTTGACGTCACCAGTGCATCCTTATAACTGATTACTCTAATACTATTATAGGTTATATAAAATATTTTTTTCTTTTTAAAACCCGCAGTTTTAACTGTTGCAGTGATTTTTCATGATCATTAAATTAATATAATTAAAGCGAATCATTAAAAAAATTGTAGATATTTTTGTGTACAATTGATTTTTGTTAAATGTAAGGAAATCCATGAACAGAAAAATGGGTATGAAGATTAAAGGTAAATTTCATCTTAAAGCATAGTATACAGTTCTCAAAAGAAACAAAAGTTCAAGAAATTGAAAAGAAATTTTCTTCTATCAAATTTTCTTAAAACAGTTTACACTTCTCAAGAACAACTTAGAGCAAAAGCAAAGTATTTTTATCAAGCAACAGAAACAAAAAAAAAATGTCTTCAGATTTTCTCGACAGCTGTATACTAAGCTTTCACACAAAAAAATTGTTCAGATCAGAAAATAAATACATATTTGGATTTTAATCATTTTTTGATTGTAACTTTGGGGAATTTTCATATCACCAAAGTAAAACTTTATATAGCTGGATAATTTGCGCTGTATTATTTTAGCAATATCAATGTTTTGTTTTAGTCTAGGTTATTAGCATAGAAATGGGGAATAAGGTGACGGAAACTGCATACAAAATACAAGAAAAGAATAAGTTAAGGTTAAGTTCACAACTAAGGTATTTTCCCAATCCGTAAATTTTCTTAAGTTACTTTTCTAAACGTGTTCTTCAGCGCAATTCACTTTAGAATTGTAAATTTTGTTTGGTTGTAGAATGTTTTAATATTGTTTTTATATACATATAGCGATTTCGAGAGAGCGCTCTAAATTGTAATGATTTATTGCTTCATGGTCATGATTTAAAATCCCTTGCATGTTGATATTTTGTTTTTTGTGCTATTTATTTAAAAATTTTTATGCTGGCTGATTTAAATTTTGTACCAATTTATACATTTTGCTCATAGTTATAATGGTACATACTCGTATTTTTGTCTTAGTTTTAAGTATTCAAGCTCAAATGATATCGTAAAAAAACAGGCAACATGTTTTTAATGTGTTCAATTTGGTCACATACAGTGTCGGTCAAAGTGGAAAAATGAATGGTGTTTCGTTTTTAATATTTACAATGCTTTTCCAGCTAAAGTTCCAAAAATTTTAATCTAAATTTCGAGCGTTTCAACCAGAATTTATATACATTTTTTCAGTATGTAGTTAACAACTTTAAAACATTTTAGTAAAGTGCAAGTTTTAAGCGGCTAAAAAATCGCATTGATTTATGTTTTTTTTTTTTTTGCTGACGGCTTTTTTTTTTGGGGGGTTTGGGGTTTGGTTGGCCGGAAACTAAGTTCTCTAAACGCCAGGCTCTTCCTCCGTATTCTTAGTTAACTCTCAGAGTTTTGTAGTTCCCGTTGTGCTACACGATTGCGTAGCTGCTTATATGCAGGTGAGTTGTGTCGTCTGAGGAATCCTTGCTTAAAGTGAATCGCGAGCTTGGATGTCAGCGCTGCTCATTGATGGCAGGGTTGATCGCCGTTGTGCTTGTTCACAGTAGATTAGTGACACTAATTGAACTTAGTGTTTCGTACGCACAATGAAGACGAATGCATTTGTTTAATGCAAAGTTGACGGTGTATAGGAATGATTTTTTTTTATTTTTTTTATTTTATTTTTTATAGTATATGTTTTTCCCAGGTGAAGAACGAAGTGGACGGTATTATACCACTGATAAAGATTTTATTTTATGAACGTACATATTTAGAATTGAACCCTCGCTTTTTTGAGAAAATTGGATAACTGAATAATCTTGTCATGATTCCAGTCGTGAAGTATATCGAAAAAGTTGGTGTTATTTTGAAAGATGGAGAAGCCATCTCGAATGCGACTTAGGAGTGAGCATTGGAAGGTTTGGTGCAGGTAACTGTCCTGAAGTCCATATCTGCAGATGTTAGAGTTTAGGACTTTAATCTTGTGCAAATATTCGTTGTCGTATGTCCGTCCCGTGAGTATTCTATTTATTGTTTTTGTTTCTCTAGGCTCTAGGGTTTTTGCATAGAACCAGGGCTTTTTGACTTTTGTAGTGAAAATTTGGGCAAAAAGATTGGGTTTGATGGCCGAGAATGCGAGGACCTCCTCGTACCTATTGTTTTCAATTTCGTCACGTATCCTCCTACTCGCCTCCTCTTTGGTAAGTTTGACCTGTAGAATATTGTTTGAGTTTATGGCATCTTTGGCAATCTGATCAGCCTTTTCATTCCCTGCAATCTCTTTATGACTTGGGGTCCAGATTATTGTTACACGGACAAAATCAGCTTGCGCTATTGTATTGTGAATCGTGGCAATAAGGTGGTTTTGGGTTCTTTCCTTAGTGAGTAGTTGACAGGCTATCAGACTGTCCGTAAAAATTGCCACTTTCGTGTACTGTCGATCTTTTGCAAGTAGTAAGGCTTGGAGTATGGCTATCATTTCTCCATAACTGGAGGAGGACTTAAAGTCAAGTTTAAAGGCGTGCTCTGATTTGTCCTGGGCATTGAAGACTGCAATCCCAGTAGAGCTACTGCCCACCGAGGCATCTGTGAAGAGGATACTGAAATTGGACGCTTTAAAGTCGTGTATTATTTGGTTATATGTCGCTTTGATTGTTTCTATTGGTAAGTTGGTTTTCTTGTCACTTAGAGTTCTGGTTATTATACTTAAGTTAGTAGTGGATATTGCTGTGTCAACTATTTCAAGATTGTTGAAGATATGCCTAAACTGATTGAAAACCTGACTATAACTAGAGTTGACGCAGTCCTCATTAAAGAGTTGTTCCTTAAGGGAGTCGTCAGTCGAAATATTGTTGAGTAACTCTTTGGCTGTGAGCCACGTTGCTCTTTCACTGGGGGGGTAGTTCGTTTGCCAGGGCGTATATTAGGGGTACAGGGGTTGCTGGAGTTAGACCTAGACATCTTCTCAGGAAGCTATTTTGATAGGTTTGTATTTTTTTGTTAACTGTCTTGGCGCAATTGCTCATTGAAGACCGGCTGTATTCTATCTTGCTCCTGACTATTGCTTTGTAGTAGTTTAGTGTCACTTTAGGGTGCAATCCCGACTTGACAGATGTGATGCATTTGAAGAGATTTGAATTTTTTTGGGACTTCCTTATTACTTCGTCATAGTGCTCCCTAACCGCTAGGGAGGCGCTTATCCGCCTACCAAGAAACTTAATTGATTGTACCTGCTCCAACTGTTGGCTGTTACAGGTTATGTTTGGGATTGTTTTGTTGCCTTTTGAGACATACATAACATAGGTTTTCGCTAAGTTTAGTGATAGGTTCAGTTCTTCACATTTTACTGAGAAAGTGTTTACCTTGTTCTGAAGGTTGGCCAACGCCCCATCAAGATTCGGATGAGCTGATAACAATACGAAATCATCCGCGAACTGGTAGACCCTAGTGTGGCCGTCTTCAATTTCATGGAGTTGTTTGGTGTACATATTAAAAAGAAGAGGGGACAGACAGCTGCCCTGGGGCAGTCCGTCACAAATGTCTATCGAGTGATTACCCAGTTGCAGTTTTCTGTAAGAGAGAAAATTGGAGATCCATTCCGTGTATGTTAGTGGAATATCAGCATCACCCAAAACTCTTCTCAGTTCTGTGAGACTAACGAAGTTGTAGGCATTGCTAATATCAGTCGAACAGAATGATTTTATACCCTTTACTCTTTAAAAAGACTATGGCCCCTATTGCGAGTGTCGACTGGCAGTAGAATAGAAATTTGTCGATCGAGTCGATCATCTTTTATTTTGCTATTGTGTAACTTGATCGATAAAAATTTGTACTATTGTGAATGGTGACGGAATTGTAAACAGCTGTTTGTTTGTTTACATTTGTTTCTTTAATGTTTCATTTACATCATTTTTAAAATAATTGCTTTTATTATAAAATTTAAAAAATGGACACAGTTGAAATATGGTTTAGTGATGAGGAAGATGATGTGGAAGCTAATAGATTAGTAGAGTTGGCTAAAGCATGGAGGGAATTGCGAGATTCGTCGGATCCCATGGAGTTGGAAGATGAAGTGTATGTACATATGTGAATTTTATGAAAAGAAGTTGCGTTCCTGATGCTTCAAGGTTTTTAGGTTTTGCAGGATTTGCAGGAAAAGCTGTTTTCCTCATTAATAA